GGTCGCTGGGGGACCGTACGACTTCATGTGTGACGGCATGCCTAGTACTCTGCCGCAGAGCAAAACAGTTGTTAGGCCCTGGCCAGACTTCGCTCAAAAGCGCCCGAAAGCGCGCAAAAGCGCCCAAAAGCGCGCAAAAGCGCCCAAACTTCGCTAACCTCTCCTCACTCTCTCTCATCTCTCCTCACACGAGAAAGTGAAGAGACACCAGAGGAATTTGGGCGCTTTTGGGCGCTTTTGAGCGCTTTTGGGCGCTTTTGGGCGCTTTTGAGCGAAGTCTGGCCAGGGCCTTAAGGTCCGCTCTCAGGGCGTAAAATTCTCAGCTGAAACCGGGTCAAGCTGCCTTTTGTTAGCAAGCCGAAGGTAAGCTGCAGGCACGCTGCTAGTGCTGAGTGTGGGTGGCATGCTAACTCCTTATGCCGCTTTCTGTTAGCGTTCCACCGGTATGGTAAAGGCATGCCGGCGGCATATCGAAACAATACAAAAATCTAGTTTACAGTCAGTTTGCAACGATATGACATCAAATTTGGTGTGCACATGCGCTTGGGGGGACTCCAATCATGGCCCAAAAATTCATGAAAATATATGTGAATGAAAGCTGCGCTTAACTTTTCTCCGAATTGACTGGAACGGTTCCAGCTGGGTGCCAGCTAAGCTGGAACCTTTCTTTTGCTAACATATTTCTTCAAATTTTTTACATGAATTGTATCTCCACTGTAAATGTTTTCTTACAGAAAAGAAACTGTTTCAATCTTTCTTCTAGGCTTTTTCATAGTCCTCAGAAGTTTTTACTGGTTCTCTGCTCCGATCGCAGAGCGCGCCCCTGAGCAACCGAGGCGCGAATCTTTCATTTTCGTTGGGCGCTCGGTGTCCTTCATCTTTACTTCCGTTTTTCTCCTATTTTTCTCTTCCTTCTGTTGTTTTCTATTCGTTCATTTGTCTCATTCTAGAGAGGGTTGGGGAGGGTGAGGTGGAGGGGTAGGGAGGGAGAGAGAAAAAAGGAAGTGGAGGGGGAAGGAGCTGTAGGTTTTCGTTTTTTTTATTCGGCTTTCTGCCCTTCATTCAGGTTTTAGCCGCAGTCCCAACCAGAATAACGGGCAAAAGCCAACTGGAGGGAAGTGAGAGGGCCAAATGGTCAAAGGGATTTCGCTGCAAAATCGTCCGGGTTCCAGCTGGTGCGAGCCCTGTCACCAGCCTTGTCTGGACACTCCCTACAAATCCCAAAAATTCAAGACAAAGCTTCATCATGCGGAAGAGCACATTTTGACTACCCATATATCCACCGTAGCACTACGAAAGGGTCCCAGAAATAACCCCTCCAGACCAAATTCCAGCCAAATCTAGGATGGCCCCCTACCGTGAATTTCATACTCTTTTCGGTACTTTTCCGTTATCCGGACCCATTTTTTCAAAGAAGCATACTGCTTCTTTGCTCGTACTATTTTGGTCCCGACTTCAAAGGAAGGAGTGTCAACCTTCTGCCACGTGTCAAAAAAATTTGACATGTCATTTACATGTTTAACAGGTTTAACCAAGAGTTTGAGTTGCCCTACTTAGCGACGTAAGTTCAATCTCTTTATTAGTCAATAGTGAGCCCATTTTCGATTAAACTATCAAAAATGAGCATTGTTATCATAACAACGTCATTACGTTACTAATTAAACAGGTTAGACTTGCCAAGAGTAGAGAAGTGAACTAGGATTCAATCATCTAAATGACAAAACAAGCAATAGCAAGGAACTTTAAGCCATCATTTATAGTTTCGTCTAGCTAAATTCGCAAGACGAAAAGTTTGAAGAAAAAGACAATGCTGAATCGTTGCTGAAAGCGACCAAGATGTTTGATATGAATTTCAGATTGTTTTGCTCTCTGACAAACCATTAAACAGCTTTTAGGTGATCATAAATGCTCTTTTACCTTACCGGAAGTGATTTCGAAAAAAACATGTCAAAATGGGTCAAAACGTGTTAATATTTCTCTGACACGTGGCAGGAAGGCAGTCCTCGTGGAATCCATAAAAAATTGTTCTTAGACTGAAGAACGTATTTTATGAGAGCTTTTTGAAAAATGGGTCCGGATAACGGAAAAGTACCCTCTTTTCTTTAGATTCTTGCGCAAGACGAGTCAACGTGTCCGCATCAAAAGATATTGGTCGCTGCACTGCTTTTCGGTAATACAAAGCTTCTGAAAGATTTGTCTATTGAATCAATCGTAAGCACGTAAAGTCAGAAATGTCGTTTATATGTCCTCATCGTAAAGAATTCCACGACCTTTGAAAACCGTTCACATTCACCCAGTCATGAAACTTTTACCACATCTTCGTAGTTCCTTTTGACGCTTGAATGAAGATCATCTGGTCTACCTCTCCAAGGAATGTAAAACGAGGCAAAAAAGTTATATAGCAAGCATCCTAGAAGCTGTTTGGTACAGAACCTTGTTTACAACACAATTATCTTGCAATGGAAATCGTCGTTGCAACCGCATACATGCCGCGCTCGTCATTAGCAAAGTTGAGGGGGAAAATGACCTTATTTGGAACTGCTAAAGCGTTTTGAAACACTGGATGACGAACTTGGAGCGTCGGTATAAGCCTCTCGCCGAGTCGGATTAGCAAGTTCCTAACCCATTGTCTAGCTATACGCATGATTACGGGATGCAAGTGATGCAGGATGGCGAAGTGGAGGTGATTCGTCGGAAAACTTCAAGCCGGATCTCCGGTGAGCGTCGCCGCCGCCGCACGCAAGAACTCGCTAGCGAGATCGCAGTGCCAGCGAGTTGCATGAAACGCTATGCGGTGAGAGACCGTCACCTGTTCAGAGGGTAGTGCGCATAAAGAAACTCGCCTTTATGCGCCCTATAAGGCGGCGCACCTTGAAGACGATGTCTAGATAAATGCCACCTGGCTGAAAATCCTTTCTCCACCTCGCCCGCTTAGCCAACGAATCTTTCGGCTTCCTCTGACACCGCCCATCTTCGAGAATACGCATAAAAAGGCTATCACCACATCGCTGCTGTTTATATTTTGCATCTGCGGCCAATTTGCTGTTCGCTAAAATCTTACTTCACGGGTAGCTCAAGTAAAGCGGTTAGGCGGCTCACATGCCCTATTGCCAACATAACCTGCACTCCATGTTTAGTAGAAATCTCCTACTTGATCGCTTCTTTTTCATCCCTTCATTGGTCATATAGTCTATTTCGTTGCTATGTAAACTATCTTATACATTCGCTCATGCAGTTTAGAAAGCGATTAAGCCTGTAGAATAGTTATAAGCGGAAATCTCTCGTTTTACCTTTTTATTGGCAGAAGCCCTTTCCAATGTCGTTCACATATTTCTTGAAGGCTTTAAAGGCTTTTTGGGTAAAATTCCATGACGATACCGAAAGCGCTAATGTTCTAGAAGGGTTTCAGCGATTAAAAAACTACAGTAGTGGATTCTTTATTCATCATGTTTTGTGCGACTCTGGATATCCTGGAATAGTTTTGCTTTTATCTTTATGAAGACAAACCACGCAAGTTGAAAAGGGGCAAAAACAACTCTCGAATGTCTTCTGCAATTAGTGGATTGGTCTTAGGTTTGTCTATAAGTTCTGCATCAAAAATTTTGAAAATATATAATTTTCTCTGACTTTGACGTACTTGCTTGTTTCAATAATCTCAGAGAGAAAAAAACCAGATTTTTAAATTTTTCCCTTGTAAGACGATTAACTGAATGGAATCTCTCAGATTCTAGGCCAACTTCCCTAAAACGCGAAAAGTTACACTAGAATCTTGTATGGTTTTGATTGTGGTTTATGATATGATCGGATGCCTTTTCGAGTAGGTGTAATTTTCGATTCCTTGGAACCTTGTTCTCATCAGAACAGAATTTTCGGGCATAATGGAATACCGGCTACACTGGAAAGAAAAACGAAATAATTGCACCCTTCATAATGGGATTCTTATAATTTTTCGTGTAAAATTTATGGACCAAGTAATAAGAGTCGAAACTGCGAAAATATTCGTCTCATTTTGGTTCAGCACCTCTTCAGCATCGTCTCAGTACGTTGTACCTCTCAGTCCAAAACTTTGGGTCGTGGTAGAATGGCAGATGCCATTTCAGCAGCCTAGCTTTCTCATTATCAAAACCAGTCCCCGCATTGCGACTTTGTCGCAGCTTCTCTGAGACATCACCGCCATTGCTGTGCGACGTCGACACCACCCTTCCCCTTCGTCTTCGTTCTCTGCGAATGACCAGACCATGCTCTCCTTAACCTTCCCATGAGCATGTACCCAAGCTATTTGGTGTATTCACGCGATTCTCGTCGCTGATGTCTGGTTTTCTTGCGTGCGCCGCGTGTTTTCTCGCATGTAGATGCGCGTCTTGCGTCTGACGTACGATATCGATCGTTGAGGGTGACGTACGTGACGGTATTTATCTATGAGATCTTTTTTTCCGAATACGATTGCCCTCAATAATTCGGTAGGGCATCGATTCGTAGCAATCCATACTTTGTACTGGGCGGCAACCAACGGTAGCCGTGGTCGAGTGCCGCGCGGGCATGCCATGTTCGCGCTGGCGGACCGTAGGGACCGCGCCAGTCACTGTTGCCATTATCCTAGCGCTCCACACTACAAATGTAGACATGGATGTTATGCGAACCGGCCGCTTGGCCGGATATCGTTTGAATTGCGCGAAAAGTTTCATTTCGCTGCGATCTCCAAGGCTACCGGGAAATCCCTTTGCTAATCAAAGATTTTGCCTATCTAGTACTTCGGTTTAGCTGCCCTTCCATCCAAGCTCGACAACAAATTGCTCCCAATCTGTCTTATCAACGAAAATTTTTACAAATAAGTCAATTCCACCATTTCTCTGCTTGTTCTTGATCGGTGTGATTATATGTTCTTCGAAAAGATCCCACGATCAGACATCGCTTTTCAGTCATCAAGTTTCATTGACAAGTTTGGTATCGATCATTAGCGTTACATTTCGATTCCGATCGTGCTTTATACACGATGTTTTGCAGATCGGTATGGTTGAAAACTTGGTTGAGCCTCAGTGTGTGCTTATTACTGGTGGCTGCGGATTTATTGGGTCAAATTTTATCAATTTTATTGCTGATCGCTGGAAGTCGTCTAGGTGAGATTGTTCGTTGGATTTGTGATTAGAATGCAGCCAGCTACTCTGCAACAAAAAAAAATCCATGTCAAATAGCGTCTGTGCATCTGGGTTGTACTGCTGTGTAGATCCAACGCGCTGTTTTGGTTACAGATCTCAAGAAATTATCACTTCTTACTTTCTTCGGTTTTCTCTATGCTACAACGATCCTTTTAGAATAGTGAACTACGATAAACTAGCATTTGGTGCATCTCCTAATCATGTGGAAAAACGAGTTCGAGACTCGGGCAGGTAACCATTCATTTTCACTCTTTTGTCTCACAGTATTCTACCTCTATCTTTCAAATTGCTTGTTTGCTAATGCGATCATCTACCATATGTTATCTTATTGCTTTTTTGGCATTTATCAAACGCGTGTTGCTTGTCTATCAAAATTTCATATTCCATTTTTCTTCTTTCAGAGAAATTGGTTTATATAGTTGGTTATATATCTGTAATCTCGATAGATCCGCTCATTTTGAAGCGCTTGCGTGGCGGGATGTTGCGGTAGAATTTGCGCAGGTAGCCACGCCAACAATGCCGGCCAACTGCGCGCGCGAAATGCTGGCATAACTGGCGGGCCGTTTGTTCACGCACAATAGCCGCAAAATATCGGCACCGCAAGCACACTATATCATATCATTATATCAGCGCACTATATAAACCTACTCGACTGTAAGTGCAGCTGCGTTGATTCGGTATCATCCCTTGTTTTATAACTGAACGGCCGGCAGTAAAAACTTGTCCATAACTGGTCTATTCTTTTGGCAAGTGAAGTCCAACAAAATTCCTTAGCTCATCTGCAGTGGTCATGCTAAATTCAGAGACTTGACCTTAGGCTGTGAACCTCTTCATGCGTTGAGTGTAGCTGAACCAAGCTCGTGTTGAATTTGTCCTCTCTTATCGGCCGTTAATAGCACCTTTGGTCGTGTTCGAGCATTTGCTTGTGTCGGTGCTAGTGACACAGGGGTGACCTAAAATGGCTAAAGTAGTCGAGTAGCTGTTTGAACCTCACTCTATTAGGGATCGGCCATAGGTTGCCGATAATTGTTGCCAGCGTTGCTGGGATTGTGGAGGTATGCGGGGTTGCCGATGTTGACATGGTTGCCTACGGCAAGATTGGGAAAGAATATGAGATTATGCCGTCACGAATCACACCGAATGCAGATTTTTCGTGAACTTCGAGGGTGTCAGAAAACGCTAGCGGCAATCAAAGTGGCAACGGCAACAGCGGCAGCACTTTTCGGCAGCTTGTGGCCCATCTTTGAGTTTTTAGATCTAGGTACATTTCAAGTTTGAAATTATTGCTGCTTCAGTTTGATCTATAAAAGAATCTGAATCGTAGTAATATCTGAAAGTGCCACGCATCCGCTGACCCGAGTGAAGCCACTCTTACTTCTTTGAAGAACTTTCCGCTAATGTGAAGAGGACCAAGGTCCCCAAGATGATATGCATGTTATTAAAGGTTGCGAGTTGGACCAAATCTCCCATATCTAGTTACTTTGTGCTTGCTTCATCGCTCTCTAATTTGATTGTGCATCAATGATTCTAAGCCCCTAAGTCAAGACTGGTTTGTTGAGTAATCAAAGAAAACAAATTTCAGACATCCATGTTAAACCTCAATACCAGTTGCAAAAGCGTTTATGCTCAGATATCTTGTGACTATAATTCTTTCACACGATAAACGCATCGTTTTAGATACACTTTTGTTGAAGCACGTTTGGAGGATCAGGATACTCTTGATAGATGTCTGCACGATCATCAGGCAAGTATTATGGTTCATGTTCGTCGTTATAATTTACCGCTTGGCCAACATTTCTCTGCATGTCAATTTACTGTTCAAACATTTTTATTCCTCATTATGTCTCTTTATATGCTTATGTCACTTGTGTTACTCATTCCTCATTTATCTTGTCATTTGCTATGGCTTTCCCTTCCTCTTCTTTTGCGCAGAATATTAGGCGTTGAATACTATTTTCAACTTCTCACAACTAACAAACTCTGTATCAGTATTTCGAGTACTTGAACATATCGAAGAAGTAATCCATTTGGAAATAAGCTATACGCTGTCATGTTGCGACCATTTATTAGTACATCTGCTCAGCCAGACTGCTGCATGACCAAAGTTGATTTTTATTAAAGATGTGATGGCACTTTGAGTACGAACGTGGACATTTCTACTATTTTCTTTTAGTTTGCCCTTCTCGCCTACAACTCAAAGATATCTCTTTAATTCAGGTGGATATGGTTATCCATTTTGCCGCTATCACTCATGTAGACGAATCTTACACGGATCGTGTGGGAACAATCCAAGATAATGTGATATCAACGACAACGTTGCTAGAGAGTATCATGAATAGGAACTACAAGGGAGTGAAGAGATTCGTACATATTAGTACAGGTGAAAGATAAACGCGAAGCTAGTTGTCATTCATAGCAAAGAAGAATTTCTTCAGATGAGGTGTACGGAGATTCTTTTGAGGATGCTACACCCAAGACTGAGACTTCATTACCAAATCCCACTAATCCTTATGCTGCAAGTAAAGCAGCTTGTGAAATGATCATTCGCTCGTATTGGGTCAGTTCGTTTTCATACTTGTAATCTGTATTCTGGCATTGAAGTCACTTTTGACTGTCATTTCAAACCAGTACAACTCACATATGAACTAAAAGCGTAAAGATCTCTGCTATTTTGTGTGAATGTTCGCTCATCAGTGAATTCTACGTTGCCCATATTACAGCACTCATACAAGCTTCCTTACGTTATGGTTCGTATGAATAATGTATATGGGCCCCGACAAGCTGGCACAAAGCTCATACCAAAGTTCACCAAGTTGGCATTAGAAGGGAAACCATACCCTCTAATGGGTGACGGTTTGCATACCAGGTAAAATGCTGTTTAGTATAGGCGTATTAACTCACGATCGACATGACGATAGTACTTGTCTCACACCACCTACCATCAAGTTGGCAATTCAGAAGCTGGATGTATGTAGAAGACTGTTCGGAGGCGATTAGAAGGGTTGCTGAGGATGGTCAACTAGGAGAAGTTTACAACATCGGTACCGATTTTGAGTTGACCAATATCGAACTTACAAGGAAGATACATAACATTGTCAATAAGCTGCAGAAGCGGTCAGTTTACTCATCATTTGATTCATTTGTTGTTAGAAGTTTTTATGGCACAAATAAGCTTATTTGTAGTTGGCGGTTCTGGCCGCCCCATTTTGATAATACTTGGTTATAGTGTTTCATTTTATCCTTTTATAGTTGTTATTCTCTATTTTTCGCGGCTGACTTCAAACAAACATGCGTAATCGTGCATATATTTCTTAATGTAGCATTAACGACATTCAGTGCGATAGCAGTTGGCATGTTCCCTTTAGACCGCTAGTAGAGTTCTGTGCTAGCAAGTGTAAAAAAATCCAAGGGGCATACTAAAGTTGCTTGTTCGCGAGCGTCGTGAGGGTTGCTAGTGGAGAATGATTCTGTTCAAGCCGAAAGCTGTCAGCTGTATCCGTTGCACCCATCTGTTGGGGGTGGCGCGTACCATCTGCAACTATTTTTGTCTTGGCGCCTAAGGTTTGCGAGCAAAAAAAATTTATACTGATAGGCCACTATCTCTCTTCTCGCTTATTTGTATGGGTTTATTTCATTCTGGACGTTCTAGTCTAGTCGTGCATATGGAGGCGTTGTGTAAGAATACATTCTCCTAATCTTTTAAGGCGATCTTTGTCCCCTTTTCATTGTCAGAAATAGTTCAAGTCCTTGCATTCGTTTTTTGGCTGTCGCTGGTGATGATTTTGTGACCGCATGCAGACATACTTGTTTAGAAAAGAGTCGCCCCCTTCTTTCATCCCTATACCGGACCGGCCTTACCACGATCGTCGATACTACATCGACTTCTCCAAGATCAAAAAGGCGATGGGCTGGCAGTGTACGACCCCATTCGACGAGGGTCTGATGAAGACCATCGATTATTATGTAAAAAACAGCAAGCACGAAGTTGTCCCTTCTCGTTTGCATGGATAATTCGTACTACCCTGCTGCGAAGTTCAGAAAGTCTAGCCTTAGTCTTTTGTATGATCTGCTGCAGAACTTGTCATTAGCTCTTATATCTGAATTTCGCATTCCAGGGATACAGTGTGTCATTAGTTAGGTGATGTTTTCATGTGTTGTATCTTCGCCATTTGTTCCTCTCACTGCTTCACCGCGCTCCTCCGTGTTCTCGGCGGCTCTTCATATAGCAATTTCGCCGCAATGTAATTTATTTATTTATTGCATGCGAACTGTCTTGGTTCTTTTCTTTTGTTTGATGTCTGCGTATCTGTATATTTGCACGTTTTTCGTGGGATATTGCTAAGAGTTTTCACCTAGTTTACCCGTAGTGGTACGCCCACACTACCCGTTCACTCTTTGTCGTGCTTTCATTGATCTTATCGGTGTCTGTGAACGTCTTTCTACTTATCTTTCATTCTCACCCTTGTATAAGCGCCAGAGTATATCAGATTAAGATTATCGTCCTTTTTTATCATGTCTATAGTCATCTAGTAAACTAATTTATTTGCACTAACTGATTCGCATTTCGTCCCTTTTCTCATGTCACCGCCCATTGTTTGTAATCTGATGTGCCTTACATTTCTATTGCATTGTTTCCGTTAAGAATTGAGCAGCGAAGTAATTGATTTAATGTATTATAAGTTTAGAAGAAAAAATTTATCAATTCAAAAATGTGTATATGTCGTGTAAACTCTAGCAGTGAAACTGTTCACGCATCTGTCGTGTCACTTGAAATGGTGCGCCATGGCCAGGAACAATCCATGCAGCCTCACAAATCACAATTCTTCTCGATCTCGACTGCTCAGTTTCGTTTGCACTGAGTGGTTGCCACATCATAGGATAGTCGAGATCTTCACGTCTCATGAATGTATCACCTGCAAAGTTGACGTTGAGCATTGATGGTAAGATAATTGATAAGCTAGCTATTGTGGGAAGCATTAGTTTGCTTTTTTCATTGTGCAGTGGTGCAGCTAAGAATGTTTGAGGCTAACAAGCGAACTGAAGAATGCATGCCTAACGCTTGTTTTTCTGTTTCTTTGTCTAGCAATGCCAGATCTCATCTGGCATCCCTTAAAGGCAGTTCCGGGCAAGAACTCGATTTCTAGCAAGTTACCTGAGGTTTCTGGATTCACCGCGAGCTGAATCCAACCACTTCAGAAAGCGCGAAAACGGCGAGAATATGCGTTTGCGAAAGCCTTACAGTTTGAACTTGGACGGTTCCCGTCAAGACTGACAAGGGAGGAAGGTTGGTCGAAGTGGGCTTTTGAAATGAAATGCATACTATCTTGTAGAGCTTAGAACGCTGATTCTAAGTTTACCTTCGCTATATGCTGCGGGCTTCTGAGTGAGAAGGTATGAAGGTTTTTATGAGTAAAAAGTTAAATACAAGATTAGTGCAAAATCAGTCGTAACATTTTTTCTAGGGTTTAACTAATAGTTCGGTCACTCGGTGCAAATATTCTTGATTTGAATATACCAACTCGCTGCTGCCTCATTTGCACGTCAGGAGAAGGTTACGATTGATTTTATACTAATCTTGTATTTGTTTTTTTTCTCACAAGAACCTTCATATCTCGTCGCTTAAAAGCCAGCAGCAGGTAGCAAGGTCGATTTGGAATCAGCGTTCCAAGCTCTACAAGACAGTATACATTTCATTTCAAAAGGCCACTTCGACCAACATTCCTTCCCTTGTGAGACGCAGAGTCGCTCCACTGCATGCGTGCTCTGCCGTAGACTAGGAAAAAAACAGGAGAGGTGGGGAGGCCCGTCCCTAGAGCGTAAACTTCCCAGCTCTCCGGCCGATTTGTTGCTTCTTTCAAGTGTTATGGCCTCGCACTTGCGCGATGGCGTGTCCGAGAGGGGTCCAGCCTGCGTCGCCTAAGCAGGGTCTGCTTTTCCTGCCAGGTGTCTCCATGTTTCTCTATCTGAGGCAAGGTCTCGTCTATCCAAAGTTCCCGCAGTTCCCATGATTCTGTCCACCCATCTATCTTGGACCTACCTCTGGGTCTTTTGCTTGTGCCTCCACCGCCAGGGCTGACCTTGTGATGTGACTTTCTTCCCTTCTCCGCACATGCCCATACCATGGTAACCTTTTTTCTGTCTTTTCTGGGCAATTAGAGCTACTAGTATTTGCGCTGTTATAGTGTCGTGGCAAATGTGATTTTAGGGTGACTTCTAAGGTGCATCGTAGCATCCTTGTTCCATGACACTAAGCTTGCGCTCCTCTTTCCGCGTACTTGGGGCACTCACTGCCATACAGTGCTGCTGCTGGACGGATAACAGTCCATACAGTTGGGACTTAAGTTGCACTGGCATTTTTCAAGTTGGGCCAGACTGCGCAGCGTACGCCAGGTACGCTGCTAAGTCTGGCGTAACCCTTTTATCGCCAAGAATTCAGGCTCTCCATCTCATCCATGTTATGTTCATCCTGCCTGCGACTTCCTCTTGCAGGCCTCCTTCCACTGAGATGTGACTGCCTAGGCGCTTGTATGAGATTGTCTTCTTTAGCTCTTTCGGGACCTGGAGTTTGCCCCACTTCTTTTTCTGTCTTCCTGATGTTGTGTTTCGAGAAGATTTAAGTCCGAGCGATTCCATCAAGGCGTTTATCACTGTGATGAAGAGGAAGGGAGAGAGAACTGAACCTTAATGTATCACCCTTGATTTGGAAGTCTTTCGATTGCCTTGCAGCTGTTTGCACGTAACTTGAAGCGTTGTGATAGTTCAACTTTATGCATTACGTAAAGGCTACTGCGGGACGAAGGCGCAGAAGCAGTATTAGTTAATCGGGCGCGAGCGGTGCGCGCGTATCCTCACCGCGTCACTTGTAAATTTTCTGGGCTTCATGCATTTTGCGGTTAATAAAGCCGCCTTACGCTCAAAGATATTGCGTCTTTGTGTTCAACAGCATATAAGTGTCGCCGTAAGGCCCACCATATGACTTTATGAGGAATTTTATCGAAGGCTTTCTCTAGGTGCAGTAAGGCTGCATGCAATTCCTTCTGCTTCTCTCTATATTTCTTCATCACCCGAGCTGAGTAGACGGCGTCGGTCCTACTCCTTTCGCGAATCCGCACTGACTCGATGACACCTTTATGATATCTCAAAGCCGCGTCGACTATTTTTATAGCTCATCAGTCGGATTGGTCGGTAGGATGCGCAGTCTGCTACGTCCCCTTTGTCCTTCCATATCGGGATCGATGGGCTGGTATATCAGTCGCGGGGCACATTCTAGCTCCATATGATTTGATTGAGGAGTCTCGTTAGCCGTGAGGCTCCGTACTGTCCACATATTATCCACAATTCGCTTGGTATATCGTGTGGACCAGTCGCTTTGCCATTCTTTTTTCTTCTTACAGTTAGTCATACTTCCCCTTCCGTGGCTGCTAGTACTGGTCCTTCCATTTGGACCGATTTCAGGTATGGAATTAAGGTACGGCCTGTAGTGGCCATCTTTTCGAGGTTCTCCATCATGTCCTCAGGCTACATTGACTCGCCGACTCTTCCAAAGATCTGCTAACTGTCGGGAACGAGAGGTGAGTATGCCCATATTGATGGTTGCTAGACGGAGAGTCTGCGATGCCTTGGACCGTTGCCTTTGGTGAACTAGCCGCTTCAGTCGTCCCCGTTCACCTTGCTGAGACCGTAACCCTCGCCCACCGTTCGCATCCGCCAAGCTCGAGTGGCATTGCTTCCGAGGGCGCCCTAGCTTTCACTCAAGATACTATATGAGACATGTATGTACTTTTGATGCGGTTGGATGTTTCTCAGCCTGCTTGTTGCATGCCCTTCTTTGAAGAGGCAGCCTGGTGCTGGATCTGTGAGCAGTTTTGCCGCAGAAATCAGGCTCGAGAATCGGCCTGTGACCTTTAGCACGGTAGTACGTAGGCACTTTCGTCAGGCACTGAAATTCAAAAACCCGCACCTTGTCCGGACACTGCCTTCAAAGCGTGGTAAAATAATATTAAAAGTTATTTATGACTGCTGCTAGGATCGTCTTTGTAGGAGCCTCACTTTGCGGTGAAAGTAGGTTTATCAAGTTTTCACATACCATTAACATTGACAGGTTTGCTGCTTTGGCGGATGCGATGTACGGGAAAACATTTTTTTTCAAACAAAACGAGTCTGGTTTCATTCTGAGTTTTTTGGTAAATCCAGAATGAATGACAAGAAAAAACACATTCTATGAATTTGACAAAAGACAACCTCAGATTTTTATCCATCCCGTGTTGACTTCGCAACGCATATCAATCGTAGTTTATATTTTTAAACATGAAAAAACCGTCTGGACGTTTTTACATCCGCAATACACTTTACGTCCAGTTTGATCATGGTTACAAACTTTTTTATGCTTGCAGAGGATGAAAAGCATGCGTGCAGCAGCGTGCTCACATAAGAAAAAATTTTCCGACGTCTCGTTTCCTAATTTTTTCCAAATTATCGTACTAAATCAAGAGGGATTAAACCATATTTAAAAATGTGAAGAAATTGAAAGTATTGAAAAGTGTGGATAATTCTTGAGTATAAACTATTTACAACATGAGATAATGATGGGAGCAATAGCTAGAACAGGAGTTGAGATGAGAGACAAAAGTCGAGCAAGATGCATTTACTTGTTATAAAAATGTTGTGACTTGTTTATACTTGTAACTAATGAATTCTCAGAATCATTCGAGAGATTTCTCAAAATCGTTTAAGAATTCTGTTTAGCCTTGTAAGCGGGGTTCTAAGCGTGAAAAAATTTGGGAAGTTTTAAAAAATTTTGAAGTGCGTGGCTGACGCCACCCACCTTTTGAAAAACTTTTTAGTCGCCCCTGAAGTGACTTTCCTTGGACTTTAGAAAAGGATTTCTAAACATATATTTTTTGTTTCTCAAGAGTAGAAAATAAAACAAACAACCTACAGCTTCGACTACAGACCTGCAATTATCACTTTTCCCATTGTTTGTTCGTCCATGACGACCACCGCTACATCATCTGAGGAATGCCCTGTTGATCTCATCAAGTGGACGTTATCTGTCAGTGTATGTCGTTCATTCTGTAAAGGCAAATCCTGAAAGCGCTCATTTGCGTAGAAACTGTAAATGAACTGTAAATGAATCACTTCAAAGAGGTTGCTTAGGTTGAACATAGTTCGATGATGAATATACCATCCTTGATAATGGATTGCATCTGGGAAGTCATGCACTCCACCAGCGTGGTCGGGATGGCCATGTGTCGTAACAACAATATGTATGCTTGGCGCAGCTAGATTTTGCTTTTCCAGTGCTAGAATGGTTGGATCAGCATTTTGGACTCCTTTTTATGGCTGCGCCTAGAGTTTCCCATGTCAGCAACGTTCAGCACCGTGTTAGCGTTGTGTCAGCATCAATACGGGGCAAGTCCATGTGTGTTCCGGCACGGTGCTGGCACAGGCATCTGCACATGGGCGACTCTGGAGGCTGTTTAGGAGCCTCAGCTCATCATTAAACACATCACCGAAGTGTAGCAAATTGCAGTAGCGCTTACCTTCCATCAACTGCGTCCTTCCATTGATATCTGTACCTAAGCCAGTGTCCACAAGTATATTCTTTCCATTATCTTGGACTAACGTGATAGTTGCGATAAAGTTGTATCTTCCGTCATTGGTTTGATTAGCGGAACCCTGAAATGCGTTTTTTTTTTTTGAATTACGAATTACAAGGCCGTAATCGTAAATGGAGGCTTCTCATAGAGTACAATAAAGACAGAATTTGAGTATGTAAATTATATGTATGCATTTATCAAATTGTCTCAAAAATCAAATGATTTATGATTTATTACACGGACCAGTCTAGTTGATGCCTCCAGCGCTAACTCTACTTTTTACTTACGTTTCGAAGTATTGTCACTTTTGGTTTCGGCTTTTGTATCGTCGCATGTTTGAAATTTCGACTTTCCTTTGCTTTCTTGATCTGCATGAGAATGGCGCTGAGTTGCCCGCTAAGATCCCGCATTTTGGATTCCCAGTCTGGCTCATCTGAAATTAAACCTGCAGCAGTCTATGCTCTCTTGAATTGCAAGAATGGGATCTTCTGTTTGATCTTTGTTGGTCTAAAGTATGCAGCGTGCGAAGACACCTTTGATTTTCTGCATGCCTTTAAATTCCAAATTCTGAACAAAATATCTAGGTCTTTTTTTGAATTTTGTGGGGGTTATGGTTGGGTTTTTACATTCCTCCCGCATAAAATGTTCTCTTCATTAGAAAGCAAGCAAATTCCATTGCTTGCAAAGAGTGACTGATTTTGTTTGAGTAGATATCCACATGGTCCATTATTCACAATCTGCTCAAGCTGAAAATCTTCTACTGTGTGCAACTACTCACTTTCGAAAAAAAGTCAAGTGGTACAAGTCGTAAAGATTTGCGAGACAATGGTAGCCACAGAAGATGTTTAATTCTGGAAAATAGCGACTACCGAAAACAGATGATAAACAACTAATTTAAGCAATGTGCTTTTAGCTGACTTCTGAAATTTCAAGTATACCTCTACAATTGCATCATTTGGTCAGCAAAGCGAAGAGATATGTATCACCCACTCATTGAGAAAACCCATGTATCTGGAAGTATCTTTTGACGCTCACGCATCAGAAGAAGTCGCGGTCTTCAGGAAGAAGAGTTCTATTTGTGTCAAGATCTTTACCAAGCGGATGCAGTTTAGGGAACTAAATTATCCACTTTCAATTGTACAATTATCGGCGCTGCAATATAACCAGCCGTACAATATAATAATACAAATCCAATACTTACTTAGAATCGAGCGATATTTAAAAATGTGTTGTTCGAACTTTTAGTTTTGCCAATATCCTTGAAAGCTTGCATATTGCAATTTATTTTGCTCGTTGAATCTATTTCAAACTATCTTTGATGGGAAGCATTAGCTCTATAAGAAGCATCCAACAATTTTAAAACTTTAGGCTAGTATAAAAGTTTCTTGGTGAACCTTTTCTAGCGTCCAAATTACCAAAATTAATTTTTCTATTTACAAGCTCATTTTCAATTGCCGTTCTATACGAGGCTGAGTTTTGTAGGTCAAAGCCCTTCTGCTACACGCTATCCATGGTTGGTTATAAGATGAGTGCTTGCTAGGCAAAAGATTTCTAGCGTCTTTGAAAACAACGTTATTCACGGTGAGTCCAGAACACGGTTGGACACAGCTGACACCGAGTCAAGCTGGATATCGGGTTTGGGACAAAAGGCAAAGTGGATATCGTTTTGTGGCCGAAAAGACACAAGAATTGGGACTATTTTTTGAGTCGAAGTTTCGTTTTTTGAGGTTTTTTACGTTTAGAGTTTAGGGTCAAGGGGGATTTGCACGGAATTTTCAAGATCAAAGGGGGCTTCGTTTATTTATCTGATGCCAGCTCGTACCAAGCCCTGGACTAAAATAGTTCAGACAGCGAAATTGTGCAGAAAGTGAAGGAAAATTGGCATAATGAGTACATCGAAAGAAAATAGCACCACTTTTCTAGCGTAGCGCCCATCACTCCTATACTCTGCAGCAGTGTCATTACTTTGTTCCCGTTTACGTCAAAAATCACTGCGGTTTTTGTATAATTGTTTTCGTTCGTCGTTGCATCTTCTTTCCACTGCATGACGAATCCACTAGTTTCATCATTTTGAGGATAAATTTGGTCCTCGTGAAGACAATACTGTAAAAGGGCCAAAACATAAATTTTTGAACTGGAAATGAAACCACAATAGCGACACCATGTGAAATCGGCTGGCAGTGTACCGAATCGAAGACGAATTTTTTCTTCAAAAATGGGTGCAGAGGTTTCTGCACGCCTTAAACTTTCCAATTCTTGCAATGAAAAACTGTATACAGTGCAATTTGTCTCATAAGACGCAACAAAAGAAAGGGAAATTGTGTAAGGTGAATATAACGATGAATGAGCTATGAACAGGGCAACAACGATAGATAAAATGTTTCTTTTCATTTCGAAGAGTTTTTTTTTCAAAAAAGTTGCAGTATAGGTTGCTGGCTATTATTCCAAAGACTGCACGAACTCGTAAACGTGTGCAAATTTTATGTATAACAGAACATGAATGCACCAACATAAATTACACTCAAGGTCACATACCTTCTGTTTCAGACGGGCCAAAATCTTCTATGCTAGATTCCTCAGGACCCATAGCTTCCCACTGTCCTAGTGACGACTGCATGAATTATTAATCCAATTCACTAATACAAAGGTTACTGCGAAGCTTATACTTACTGTGACTGCTGTCGTGTCCTCTGCTTTATCTACTTGTGTCCATGTGCGTGATGTGGTTGTGGTTAGAGGAGACAAAGTAACTCGTTGGACTAGGGGTTTACGGCGATCAATGAACGTCTGTAATGCAAAATGCTATTGGAAATTCCGAATTTTGCTAGCCAAATTCAGCTGATGTGACTTGAAGTAGGCCGGACAACTCCTTGAAGGTTTCTTGTGAAGGTTCGTCTAGGGATGTCTTGATTCCTTTTTGGGCCTGCAGTGCAAAATGTTCAGAAGCTTTCACTTCATCTGGCTATGTTACCCGTGTAGCTTTAGCGCCAGTCGGGGTGACTGGTTTTCGCTTCACCTTAGAAGCGGGTGAGATCACTGAAGCAACGGAACGGTCGTCCTCAAAGTAAAGCTCGTAATCTCTTGTCTTGAGTAAAGGTGAGTGATTTCACCTACCAGCCGGAAATTATCAACCTTTTTGGCTATTGACAGCGATTTTAGCGCATCTCTTGGAACTGTCATCATGGGACCAGCACGTATGGCAGATTCTGGAGGTGTCATCAGCTACAAATTGCTTTGATTCATCTTGAGACACATTAGGTAAAAGGAATGATGCAAACATACAGAAACGATATTATCTTCATGCATTGCATCCAGTGCAGGGGGTGGTTCATTCAGCAGTTCAACGGGAATTCTCGAAACACTGCCTCGACCTTTGCCTCTCACAAAATCGCGTAGGGACGCTCGCTCCCAATCATCCAAGGAGCGTAGAATCTCTCCTTGCAGAGCTGCACCAAAATAAATTAGCGGTTAGAAATGTCTTGATGTCTTTTTTTTTTTTCAAACAATGAGATATGTGAAGAAGTAGTTTACTTACGGTAATTGTCGAAAGCTGCTGTCAATGCTTTTTGCAAATGAAGCAATATGAACACTGCTAGCATGGTCTCATGTTAACTATAAAAGGCATGTTGCAAAATTGACTGTGTACTTATCAGCAGCTAATTACTATACCACAGGATGCAAGCAAATTCTCGCTGTCGTAAAGAAACGTAATAAAAAATCAAGACGAAAGACAAGAGACATGAGTAAGACAATTGATCTTGAAAGGGTGGGATGTCTTTTTTGCAAAAAAAAATATTTTGCTGCATTGTTCACCATATTAAGGTGGCTATCGTGAGCTCCAAAGTACGCCAATGATGGGAGTAGAATGGGGCAGTTTCTCAAAAAAAAGTTTGCAACTGATGTGAGGAGAAGAGTAGTGCGAGGATTGAAAAGCCGAAAAGGACTAAAATTGCTCCTGATATAAATTTTTTTGCACGACATCATTAAGAATATAGTCTCCGACGTTACAACGTAAGGAAAGTGAAACGATAGTAAGAAATATAATCGAACTATAGAACGAAGATGCAAGAGAATATTAAGGCTTTGTATAAAACCTTGATTTCAACTCCATTTCAACTATAAAATGGAAAGTTTGCGGGGTGGAAAGATATTTAAGACGGTCTACTGCAATTAGCATATCAAGAGTGTTGTGGCTGAAGATGGGCACAAGTGAGTTTGGCCACCTAATAACTCACTGACCCAGATCCCGAACGGTAATTGAGGCGCGCACCTCAAATGCGCATGCTTTTGTTCCGGAATAATCAGAAAGGGCATGTCAAGATGAGCAGTGACAGACTAATAGTAGCGTCTTTTTCTGAACATTGCTAACGAAAACGCTTGGATCAAAGATGGACCCATATTTGCAAAACTGGCCTAAAATATCGTTTATAAGAAGAAAATTCAGCAACATCAAGTGCACCAACCAACATACTGGATATGAGCTGACTAACTGCAGTCTAGTAGGCTCTTGTGGTCGGCCATGGGGCCCATATATCGTTCGTTTGGGCACAATCGTACTCGAGTGAACGTGAATAATTACATTTTATGTATTTCTTGCGTATGAGGCCGGTAACAACAATTTTTGTGCAGTTGCACACATTAACGAAAAGGTTTACTTGCCTGTGAATGTGTATATATTTTTTTTGTTGGCCGGTGTTCCGATCCGTTGCCTTTGACACTCAATTCTCGACTTCTTCGTTGCGAATACCGCTGTTTTTCAATACAGCAGCCTACTCGCATAATATTATGTAAGGGAAACCATATCAAAAATTATTGGTCATTTCTTCTTTAGAGTAGGCAGGCTCGCAGGTTCCTAGACCGTTTCAAAACTAATTCCAAGAGATGTTGAAAATGTTGAAAATAGGTCAAATTGAGGTCAGAACTTTCTGGAAACTGGGAAAGCTTCAGCGCAGCAATAAGACGATAACCCTCCACTTGACCTGAAAAATCTGGGCTGTTCTTGCAACTAGGGTAGCACAATTCTACTTAAAGTTATTAGTTCTGAACTTTTTACTTCTCGTTCAAGTAGGTCTGTGTATATGTAATTTTACATTGTACTTTACAGGCGCCTAATGGTGTCTTTACTTTTTTGAAGAGGACATCAAAAGCATACTATACAGGCTACATCTCTACTGCCATACTTTTTGAGAAGCATGAATTACATTTACTTTTAACATCTCACAAAGTAATCCAGTATGGGAACAATATTCCATGATATAATATTTCTACCCATTCAACAAAGATCATATCGTTTAAGTTTTCACATCATCGTCGCCAACACCGCTTTTATCGAAATTTAAAGAGGAAATTCTATGTTGCGTGCTTTTGGCTATGACTTTAGTGTATCACAAATGATTTGTGTGTATAGTAAGGAAAAGGTGCCTCATCAACTCATATCATGAGCCTAGGTTTTGGACCTGCAGTCCAGTCATTTCAAATGATCATGTGTGCATTGCACACATCGTCCATCTTTTGCGTTCCCATCCTGGTTTGCAATCGTACGCAAGGGACCGACCGTTTGTTATTGCTTACTTGACTTTGAAACTGGTTCCCCAAAATGAAAGAAAACGAAGAAAATACCGAAACCAAAATGGGTCTGGTTCAAGATCCAGGGTGGGAATGCGAAGATGGACAGTGTGTTCAGGGCCCGGCACAGATCGTCTGGAAGCAGGCTAGACTTCGTTTTTGAAGCAAAAAGCAAAGGGGATTTCGTTTTTGACGAGTCGTGGCCATAGCACAAAGAATAAGCGCCATTCAGTTAAAGACAGTGTCCGGGCAAAAAGTCGATTTTGAAATTTTGTGCTTACCCGGGCCTATTCACTATGCTGAATCCGAAAATCCAGGTTGGAAAGCGCAAGACGAAAAAGGGCTCTAACGCACGAGGGAAATCGGAAGTGGGCGGGGTCCTCCCCACTGTGAATATCGCAGTCCCAGATTCTGGATCCATCTTCCCAATTCCTCTAGCGCCCTGAGATCTCCACCGGCCAGGTGCGAATGCATGACTTGAAATCGGAACCGAGGAGATCGCGCTGGAGGATGGAAGCGTAAATTCGCAGTGGGGAGGACCCCGCCCACCTGCTGATTTCCCTCCCGTGATAGAGCCGTTTTTCGCCGTTTTCGCGCTCTCCAATGTGCATTTTCGGATTCAGCGTAGCGAATAGGCCCGGGTAAGCAAAAAATCTCAAGATCGAGTTTTTGCCCGGACACTGCCTTTAAACACGAGCTTTTCGGACAGATTATCACACGATTGACATGCTCTATCGTGCATGGCGAAAAGTGCGCGCGATTTGAAAGCAAGGCTTAAATAAACAAATTGCTTGTTTACAGCGCACACAGAAGCATATGACACCAAAACTGAACTGTACGTATAGAAAATTATTTTCGAAAGTATTATGTAAAGAGGTTTGAAAACTTATGGGAAGTAATACCTTTTCCAAAATTAGGTCGTCACTAGACGGTCACCAGACGATCTGAGATCGTCTGGAGCATATATTTTCGTCACTTCACATAAGTTTCGGATCTTTTTAGCATGGACGGATTTCCCGGTCAAAAATCTATCCCTGAGCATGAAGACATTCTCATATCATTGCCTTTCTTTGGTTTTTTGCCTTCATTTCTTCTCGCTTTGTCAAATATCGCGCTCTAATGCCAAAGTCTTGTGCATGCGTAGTATACAGCTCCAGTTTGGATTTTCACTCTTATCTTACGCTGGCGGTTTACCAGATGTCCTCAGATTTCGTTATTCGTTATTCGCAAACTTCTGATGTGTGACGGACAAAAGCTTTGCTACTTAATGCGAATGCATCATGTTTTGCACATTCAAAATGGGCTATCCACAGCTGAAGCGTGGCCGAATCGCAGGGTGACTAAAATCGCACAGAGCATGCTTCCAGCCCTACCAAATCACATAGTGCTAGCAAAGTGTGTTCATCGGATAAAGGTGTATCGGTACGCCTCACTGACATCGCAACTGCCGACACAATCGAAAGAATTCTAAGGCAAAGTTGGAGTACATCAGAGTTCGGTTTTCCTTACTCCTCATCACATCCATGAACGCCGTAATAGAACCATCAACCGTGAGCCTTTGTGGACATTGCTCAACCACGATGCGATTTGGAAGCAAGGTTGGGAAGAAGTGGAAAATGAGATTCAGAAATGGAAGACCAAAACGTGATGTGGATTAAAGCTGTAGCGAGTTGGAAAAACTGGAGGATAAGATCCAAAAAGGAAGACCAGAACGTGGCATGGGTTGAAGGTGAACCAAGAAGACAGTTTATATGGAAGTGAAGAATCATTCTGGAACATTATGTATCAGTGAAGAACAAAGAAAACATCTTTGTGCAAGTCTTGAGAAGTTACGTCTCAGAGGAGGGAGTTCTAGAAGAAACAATCGGAGCTGGAATGAACGCAGGGTGGTTGGAATGAAGGAAAACCTGTGCTGATGTCTTACAAATCACGAATTTATCAAACCTTCATCCGACCGCACGGAAGTGATCTGGTCCTGTACGTGAAGGAGGACAAGCTCAATGTCATGAAACTGCAGATTTTAAGATGGACTTTAGGTATAGCACAGAATGGTCGCGTGCAACGACTCCATAGCCCGACTGGAAGTTGTTACAGTTGTCCAGAAGAGAGAGACAGGTGGTATTACGTCTTCAAGAGAGAGGATAGGCACATCACAGGGGTAGCCTTGGCGTTGAACGCACTAGAGATGAGACCTAGGGGTAGGCCAAAGTTGCGTTGCGAAAGTTTGAAATAGATGAAGACTTTGCTTTAGAAAGAAACATCTGGCGCCATCCGTCCGAATGGCAGACTTTGCATAAGCGGGATACTTGCTAGGATGAAAGGTGAGCAGTATGTAGTGGTGAGTAGTTCGTAAACACAGGGTGTCCCAAAAGTAAGTACACACTTTTTAATCGTTGATGACTCTCTTCCCACAGTCTTCTGCTTAGCTTCAAGTATCATTCGGTAGGGAAGGCTTCAACTTAGATTCACAGTAGAACGAATCACTCATCGCTCTTCATTACTGTAGGATTACGGTGAGAAACTTCAAGGGCTTCATCACGGAATAGGCTGTTTTACAAAAAAGTTCAAAAAATTCTGAGAAGTTGTGCAGAGATGTTCCCAGACATTGTCAGGAACAAGGGGTGTACGAGCCCTTGCCTAAAGGTGTAGCGGTGTTACGGTGTATTGAACATGATGATTATATATGTTTATTACTAAAGATATAAAAAGACAAAAGAGGTAGGGGGAGGGGAAGGGGTGAGTGTGAGTGTCCGTGAGTCCCTGAAGGTCTCCAGTCCTCTTCTTATATGCTGGTCCGTCTTACAACAATAACAGCGGTTAGGGCGGGGTAAGATATTGCATAACAAGTGATGTGAGGTGGTGACTCAGTACATTGCATAACAAGTGATGTGACTCAATATTACCCAATGTTATACAATCTGATGAAATGATCTCATGACATCTCCGCTCCTACAGAAAGCTCGTCCTCGAGCGTATTAATAGGCTGGTTGAAATACTGATGATGGTTGTCGTTCAGCTAGCGGTTTGAACGTAGTGAAGGGGGGATTAG